GCTGAAGTCCGTTCCTTTCAGCTCTCTGCCGCGACTCTTCACCTGTTCCTTCTGTTTGAATTGGCTGAATTTGGCCACAATAGGCCGTGGTCTCCCGGTCCGCGACCGCGCGCCCCCCAAGCGATGTACTCTATCGAAGTCGATGTTCTTTACGGTGTCCTCCGGCAGCTTCAGGTGGATTTTAATGAAGCTTTTCACCGTTGCCTCTGCGTCCTCTCCGGCAGTTTCTGGAATACCAGAAAACACAAGATTATCTCTCATGCTACGGGCTTGTAAATCGATAACGGACTCTTTTATTTTTTTATTTTCAATGTTTAGCTGGGTCACGTTATCGGTGAGAGATTTAACCGACTCCCGTAGCGTGGCATTTTCAGCGGCAAGCGTTTCCACCTGCCGCTGGCTGAATTCCAGGGATTCTCTCAGAGATTTAAATTCCCGGTGTAAAATCTCCACCAGGGACAGCCTCGCATCGAAACTGGACAATCGCTTGTCGATGGACTCCAGGATTTCTGCGATGTCTTTGCCGGCAGGCGATGTTGTACCGGGGGAGTCTGCCTGGCGACTTCTCTTCGATGACGGCGTCTCGATTTTGGCCGGGGAAGATGCACTCTGGGCCTTATGCATTACTAAATCTTGAAAACAGCGGTCGATGTAATCTTGGAGAGCGTCTAAACTCTCCCCGTTGTCCTCCAGGGTGTTAGAGATGATAAAACAGATGTTGTTAGTTATATGACAATTGATTAGTATATTTGGAAAATATTTGGAAATACTGAAGCTTGGAAAACCTTTGTTAAACTCTATGCTACCATTTGCTTTTTCTCCGCCAAAATCTCCGGCGTCTGACGTCACCTACAACATCACTTCCGTCACTTACCTCTCCTTCCGTCACTTACCTCTCCGACATCTTCAGTGATTACCACTTCTACATGATGGATGGACACAGTGTCTAAGTGATTCTGATGGTTAACACTCCAACTCCAATCTCAATGTCTTTCTGTAGTTTCAAATCCAGGGTCCTTAAGCCCAGGGCAAAAACAGTAGATATCTGTAACTCTCCAAATACCATCAGACTGCGCTGCTAATTGTTACTGTTATATCAAAGAAAGATGCAAACTACCGGTAGGCCCAGATTTGGTTTATGGAGGTGACATATTCCCAAAGCAAAATGTCAGTAGAATTGATAGGCCACATTTTACAGTTTCTGTAAGTCCGTGACATTGTGAATGAGTCAGTGTCATGTTGCTTTCTCTGATGATGGGAACGTCCCTTACCACAGCTCCAACTTACAACTCCTAAAACGACCCCCATTACCCCCTGATGGTAATGGGGGTAATGGGGGATTTTCCATTTTCCATCTTAGAAGATGCATCTGCATGATCCCCGGCTGCCACAGTGTTGTTGACATATGGCTGTGACGGTACTGGTGAGGAAGATAAGAGAAGTATGTTCTCCCAAGGGAAGTAAAGTTATTAACAAGATCGTTTTCATGATATTAGCAGATACATGTACCAGAGATACAGAACATGTAAGTCATTATGTTGGTGTAAATGCTTTCATATTTATGGAACAGTGTCATTTGTATTTTATTTCATGATAAGTCCCTGTTTCAAGTATTATAAATGATGTATTCAGAGGACACCCACAATAGGTTATGCTTTCAGGTCCTCCACTTAGTGAGTTATTGGTCTGAAATGGACAAGAACCTTCTAACTTAGAAACTATAATTCTTACAGGTGGGGGGTAAATATAAAATATTTCACATTTGACCTCTGACATTTCCCTTAAAGTCAATAGATTTGCCTGATCAGCTCAAAGTGATATAGAGCTATTTAAAAATAAGTGTCTTTGTTTGTACTGGCAGCATTGGGAATGATACTGGTATATGGGGATTCTAAATATCACATTATAGATTGCATCCAAATATCATGTCATATTTGACCCCTGACCTTACCAAAGATTTTACAAGTAAAATAAAAAACATAAATGTTTAAAAATTAGAAATCAATAGTTACAGATTTTTGATACTTGAAATGTTTTGTTTTCAGGTACGGTATGTGTACTGTGTGCTCAGTGACCAGCTACACACAGAAATGCCAATAATGCCACGGGACTGTCTGTTGTAATAATGTTAACTGCTTATCTTCTTATCTGCTTAGTGATTAAATTGTCTATATATTATTAACAGTGGTTTAAATTAAAGACTGAACCGGAATCTGTTGTATCTCATCTGTGTTTGATAGATGGATATTGAATCAATATGGAATTAATACTTCTCTTCATTAAGTATTCAGCCTGTTAAATTGCCTCCCAGATCTGATGTCTGCCTCTCATCACCCATCACTTTTTCTTTAAGCAACTTCCAGATCACAGAAGCTCCAATAAATGTGTGGTTTACCACACATGATTCCCATTATTGCATTCTTTCTTTTTCCTGTTTATTTCAAAGTTCCAGTTATGAGTGAGGTCTTTGATGTAGATGCATCTGACTTATGTTGACTGATTCAGTTGGACAGCAGCGGGGTGAAACTTGAAGCAAATGATGCATCACTGTGGATGGCCCTGTTATTAATGCTTAATTGAGTTTCTGTTGACATGGTGAATGTAAGTTCAGTATTCGCTATCCTTTTATCTCTGTTTTGGTCTCTTCCAGGTGGTGTTTTTGTGAAGTTGTACTGCAAGTTAGACCTTTCACATATATATTAAAATATTTATTTGCTTCAGTTCAAAATGTTCATTTTTGATCAAAATCCCTGTGGTCACTGTGAAGTTTGCTTCTTGAAAGTTGCATCAAGCCTTTCTTTAAAATGAAATTTTTTTACCTGTTGCATTTGAAGCTTGAGCTGCCCGAGTTGGAAACATCAGAGAAATAAAGTGTGTTTTGAAAAGTTGTCTCTTTCGGGACTTAAAAGGAACCTGTTGCTAACTTATCTCTACACTTGCGACAAGCCCATACCCCCTTCTCCACTTGCCCTCGGGCCATTTGACCTCCCCTGTGGTTTACAGCTCCGTGAATGACAGCTACCCATTTCACCTCGTTTTTAATTGCAATCCAAGCCCTCCATTTACCTGCCCAAAACTACTTCAAAGAGCGCTTGCACATTCACACAAAAGCTCTTCAAGATTGCACTTCCTTTTTTCCACAACCAGCTGAGAGTGTGAATGGATCGTCTAATCCAGCAGCTTAAAGGCTTTTTTTAGTTCAGCCTGTCACTCAGAACCTTTTTTGTTGTAACTGTGCGTTTGTGTTTGGGAATGCAGCCCGTGTAATTTCAAAATGTCGCTCCGAGGCGCTTTGTATTTAATGTGTGGTCGTGTGTTTGCATCGTAAACCTTTTGCGTTTGAGCTTGTGCGTGATGATGAGTGTACGGATGTGCGTGTTTATGAATCTTTTTGAAGTGCTCGCACCTGTTGTAAGACTTCATGAGGGCAGTGATTCATCTGTCGAGGCAGAAAAGCTTCAGGTTTGTTTACAGTGCAAATTCAAAGAAAGAAGGGTCACAACTGTGCCACACACATCACCTCAAGCATGTGCTTTTAGGCTTGACCGTTACAATGCCATGCACTCACTGAGGACTGACAGATAGACTTGAATTTCACAGTGAAGTGTGTACTGATGAAGTTTGCTTGCTTGTGTGTCTGGATTTTGTAAATCAATCAGTTTTGGAATTTGACATTTATGCCAGCAGAAACTACTTTGTGCTTGACCTGCATCCCATTATCTTAATACAAGAATCTGTCAGCCTGACTAATCATTATTTTTCTTCTGTGGAAAAGAAAGATTAATCAAAAGCATAAACTTTGTACAAAGCAGAGAAGGAACATCTGTCTGAAAATCAGTTTGAGGGGTACACCAAGCTGAGTTTAAGAGATGGAGGATCCAATCACTGAAGCTGGATTTCTAGTTTACTTGGCAACGAAGAGTTGGAGTTAAAGTGCCTGAATTTCAGGACCGGGACCACGCCTCCAAACACGCCCCTTCCGGTTCTTATTTATATATGGATACCCCAGTTCTACAAGCTTTTTGTTCTGCCAGGCTTGGGAGCCGCCGCCAGTTCCCTCTGAGGCCTTCCCCAAACCCCAGCTCAATTCATGTTTAAGCCATTCACCTTTATCCACTAAAAACGCTGTCAAGCCAGCTAGTGAAATGAGATTACTGCAGAAAGCTGACAGTTACTTAAACATGCTGATTGACACTTCCCTGTCATGTCTTAGTGGACTGCAGGTCCCTGAGTTTGTATGAATGCAAGAGTGAGACATGGAGTGAGAGGTGTCTTTATTTAGAAGCACATGTTTCAAATCCCTTTGGGCTCCTCTGATGTTGCACTTGTCACACAGAGACTGCGCAGTTTACAGACAAGCTTGACATTGCTGCATATCAAGATGGGTTGATGACACATCCATTTCTTAAAAAAACATCTCCTTCATTTTTAGGAATACCCTTCTGCACAACTTCTCTTCAGCCACTTCATTTTTTTTTACCTCCTCAGAAAGAGAGACTCACTTCTTATGATCACAGAGGGAGTAAAAAAAAGAGAGTTTGCAGCTAATTATGAGGGAAGCTATTCAGATTATTCAGATGCGTTCTCTACCAACACCCCCCTCCTCCCCCCATGTCCTCTCCTCCCCCCCAGGCAGTGAAGGGTCTTTTCTGTCCCCAGAGAGTGATGTCAGCATGGCCCATTGAAAACAGCCGCCGTGTGCTCCGAGATGAATGCCCTGGCTGAGCACAATGGCCCCAATTTGAATACCACGCGGATATATGCCAGATCGGAGCCCCCAACAAAAGAAAAGAGGGCTACTCTGCTCCCATTCAAGCATGCTGTTATTTTATTAGTCGTAAATTTGCTTCATCCATTTATAGCTTTTGTAGTTTTTCAAGTGTTTATGGAGTTTGAAACACATGGGCGACCTGACAGGGTCGGCCCTTTTTTTTGGACAGAATTTTATTTTTGTTGGCACGTAACTGAAACACCGTGCTCGTGTTTGTGTCTGACCGCAGATTTACACGGACTGGGCCAACCACTACCTCGCCAAGTCAGGACACAAGCGTCTGATCAAGGACCTGCAAACAGACGTCACGGACGGAGTGCTGCTGGCTGAGATCATACAGGTCGTAGGTAAGGAAACCAACTTCTGATTCCAGGCCCTGCTGGAAGAAGCCAGCTCTGATCAAGTGACTGCTGGAGAAAAATGCGAGCCACGTCATTACTTGTTTAGATACGGCTGACCTTTACCAAATAAATGGTCGCTTGCAAACATCATCATTAACTACAAACTCATCTTTTGTTGAGGTGATACGATTAAACCATTTTACTCTATTATATAATGTAATATTGAACTATAAAGTAGATTTTGCAGCTGAAGTAGTTACTTCCACAAAGGACCAATAGTCAGGAGAAAAACACTATTGTTGAGGAAAACTTTTATGAATTTATAGACAGTCAGTGAACTACAGTCTGTAGACTGGGAGAATGTATAGAAGAGAAAGGAGAACAGTTAGAAGAGTGAATATAAATATAAATCAAATAAATTTAAACTTTCTGAAGTTTGTGCTTTGCCTTGTCTCAACTCTTTACAAACCAATGTCTTGTATTGTGTTTGTATTGTTAAGCATGTTTTTGATTCAGTTATGTTCTCAAAGAGTCTTATGATCCTAAATCAAATTAAGCAAGCTTATAACTCAACAGCAGCAGTTATACACAGTATGCAGCTGTTCAACCCACTGCTGATCGTCTGTGTTTTTGACCCATGCTCTCGTCTGTAAAATCATCATCATCATCAGCCTTGTCATCTTGTCTGGCCGTCCTCAGCCTGTCATTTCATCTGCCGGCAGCCTTGCAGCTAAAACAGGCAAACACCAGCTGACCGGTGATTCAGCATGTCAGTGACTCTGCTCCCTGCTCCTCCCCCGTGTCTCTGACCCAGATTCTGTACATTTTATGCTATGAAGACCTTTACTGTTCTCACACTACATCAGTTGTTGCATGTGATTGTGTTTTAAATTAGGTCATGAAGTCCATGCCTTCGTTCCTGAGCCTGGTTCTGCCGGAGGTTTCATTCTGTTAAAATTTAGTTTTTCCTTCCTGCTGTCGCCCAGTGCTTGATTATAAGGCCTTGTCTGATTGTTGGGGGGGGGGGGGGGGGGGGGTTTCTCTATTATTCTAGGGTCTCTTACAATATTAAGCACCTTGAGGCGACTGTTGTTTTAATTTGGCACTATATAAAGCTGAATGAGCACTATAGGTCTTTTTGGGTTATACGAATCTTCGTCTGTTAAAAGGGTTCCAGGAAAATCCAGTTGTTTTCACACCTGTATGGTGACTAAAGAGCAAGGTTGGCATTATATTGCTTTGGGGATATGCACAAGCATAAATGCTGACACAAGAATGTGGAACTGTTCTAATGCTACTTTCCAGCCTGGATGTGGTCGTGTTTTTTATGATTTATTCTTATGAAAGTTTGATGTTTTGACTGGGTAACATGGGACCATGTCTTGCTCCTCTTTGTTTGTTCAGTTAGTATTAAATAATTCATTAGCAGTGAACCTGGTTATGGAGCTCAAGAAATGAAAGTTTTGCTGAATTTTATAAGTGAAAGGTGGCTCTTGAGTTTCTGCATTGTGGAAAAAGTACCTGATGTTAATGCAATCCAGGCTGGCTACAGCTTTGCTCTCAGATTAAATCATTTCCAACCAGAGCCATCCATTCACCTGTTTTGTACCTCCTTTCTGCCTGCTGCTTCTTGTATCCTGGGAAAACCTCATGCCCACATAGTGTGATGAAACCAGAGCAGCTTGCTGGTGTTGGAACAGCCGTAAAAGTTCAGAGGCCTGGCCGGATATGACACCTGTTTAGCTATTTGACCTGCTTAGATTCAAGGTCAGGGTTGACTTTCACATAAGCCTCCAGATCGATTTCATCATCAGTTGTTTTTATGAATATTTCAGAGGGTAATCTGTCCGGTGAAATTCAACCAAAATTAAGATATGGCTTTGTCCTCTGTTTCTAGTCTTCTCCAGTAATCTAGCTGTTGTATAGCCCAGCTGCAGGAATGTGAGCTGTACATTTATTTGCTCAGTATTCACAAGATAAACTGTGTGAGTTTGTTTTTTAGTTTTAGTTTTAAGTGTGTCCCAAAATCACACAGTACGTGTCTCTTGTGGGTGTTGGTGTCTACAGTGTACAATTTTTAGGTAGCACACAAACCAAAGCCAACAGTAGTAGTGTTAAATCACTGATAGTCTTGTTAGCACTAAACTATTTTGGAATTGCTTCATGCCAAATTTTAATTCTCAGTATGAAAATGACATGCTTTAAATGCACATAGAGAGAGGTAGTATCCAAATACATGCTGCAATACCAAGTTCATAAAAGTGAAAAACCCCTTGCCTTGAAGGTCATCTTGACCTCTTGAGCTCTTCCTGAGCCGCTGCTATTTCTAGATCACTTCCTATAAGTCTCCTTCTGACCACTTGTATGAGCACCCTGTGATTTCACCACAGACCTCAGTCTTGGGCAGGAAACAAACATCAACTGCTCTTTAAACCTGACCAGACTTCCGGGATCGGTGTCCTTCCACAAAGATCAGTAGGGCCACCAGGAGCATGCTTGCTCTTTTGGGTTTTACAACATTCACTTATCTTGCACCATGAATTTGTCCTTCATGGTCAGACTGTCCTGGTGCTTCAGTGTGAGAACAGAAACCACGAGACCTGCAGTGGATCCTGTTGTGCGCCATTGTGTGTACAAAATATACAACATGTTAAAAACAATTTTTTTCATCACCTGCTTCTTTTCCAAAGTTAAAATTTAGGCTTAAAGGTCATCATCTTAAGAAACAGTGAAGGAGATCCATAGACCTTCTGTAAAAGGAGTCAAAGCTTGACTCCTATGGAGCGAATAACAGCAGCACTACAAGTATAGCAGTGTTGCCCAAGGAGGACTTTAAAACGAGTATGGTTTTACATTTTTATGGGTGGAGTTGTTGAAGTTTCTAATTGCATGTTGACCTAATTGACCTGATAACACCACCAATTAACTAACATAAACTGAAAATTAAATCAGTTTTAATTCACAGTCCAAAGTGTATGGGAGCTATTTATAAAAGCCCAGTAATCCCAGGAGTCTTCGTCATTTCCACTAAAACTGAACACATTTCTTTCATATGTGAATTGTAAAACAAAACCATCCACTTCACTGGAAGAACAGTGTTTTGTGCTGCTGTATGGTGTAAAGGATGTGGTCCTGACATGTAGCTGCCCTCTAGTCTCCACCGTGCCTCCTGATGCAGGAGTCTGTGCTGTTAGCACAGTTGTCAGCTGTGAGCTGAGGGCTGTGTCTCAGCTGCTGTGGGCTGGGCCTTCTAATGGACGGGAGGGATTCTCAACACCACACACACACAGCAGCGCAACACTCCTGGTTGGGCCCCCAACGGCCCCGCTCCCATTTGCTATGACCAGATAGCATTTCATGTGTCAGCGGGAGGGGATAGGAAAGGAGGAGAGGGGGGATCCCAGTCACTGGCATGAACACCTCTGCTCTCTGCACTCAGCCTGTCACTGTCTGGGACACACACATCGGGATAAAGGAGAGGATTACATTAAGTGAACACGCCTGAAAAGAGGTCTCATTATCTCTTCTTTTGTCTCTCTGTCTCTTCTGTCTCTCCTCAGCCAATGAGAAGATTGGTGATATCAATGGAAGTCCCAAGAGCCGTTCTCAGATGGTAAGTGACCGACCAAGTTTGTTTTGGCAGAACGTTGAGAAATTTACCTGCGTGTTTGTGTGAAACAAACCCAGCTCTTTGAAGTCCCATCTGATCAACTTAAGTGGCCCTCGCTAGAAACTGCGGCACAGAAGTCCCTGGTAAATAGTTGTAGATGTGAATAGTTAGCCCATTTATTTTTACTTTTGTGGTATGGCGTGCAGTCATCCGTGAAACCTCTGGCTCAGACTTCTGGATTTGGCTCTCAGTTAAAAGCATCGCAAGCTTTGGTTTTGGGGCCAGTTTTGCCTCTTCATGTTACACATGATACACATCCAAAGAAGTCAGCATTCCTCACATCTTCAGGGGTAAAAGCAGATGGAGAATATGAGCACTGATTTAAAAAAAAGTTCAGAGCCAGTTACGATGTGTTTTTGTCTGCAGTGATAGTTAGAAGGTACATAGGTGGGATTGCCTTCTTGACACTGTTGGTGGCATTTTAGCGGTTTTACAGTTTAGTGCTCTCTGTGGGAAATGAACTGAGCATCTCAAAGCAGGGCTGCCCTCCACTAAATGCGATGGGTCATAAATTGGGACAGTGTGCCAGCTGAGGGGACTATTTCTGGCCACCAGCCAGACTACTGAAGCCTACCAAAGCACCAGAGAGAGAATGATGGAGACACCCATACACACCCATATTTAACAACTGAAAAGGAGGTGGAAGCACAGCTGATCCCTGAGCGTCACTGCACACACATACCCACAGTGGAGCCATATTACTGTACTTATGAGGGCATTCTGCTCTGACTGATTGTAGTTCTTCTTTAGCATTTGGTGGTGTTTTCATTTCATTCGTTTTTGATGGAGGTCACCTATGTCCTGCCATGTTATTACATTTATTTCAGAATTAATTATATATTAGAGAGCTTCTGTAAAATTCTGACCTTTAGTAGAGAGCGAGGGTTCACACTATGATGCTCATGGTACGCTCTGCATTTATCATTCCTGAAAACGCAGAGAAGGGGTTTGTCCACGCAAGAGCCAATTATTCTTCTTCTCTTGGGGTTGCTGAGCATCACTGATTTGAACATGTTTTTCTGTCCGGCTGTGTTTGCGTGAGTAAGTTCATTAGAACCAGAATCAGTGAAACACTTTATATTAAATATAATGACCTAAGAAAAACATACATTAATTGCACATTTTTTGTTGCAGTGTTTATCCTGGACAAGCATTATAGGAACAACACCAACACAGAGTATACAAACTTTTTACATTTTTACAAGCGTTTGAAAACATTTATTAACTCCCACTGAAAATGGTCTCGACTCCATCTCCACTTCGCTATCAGTTAGGTCTTTCCCATTAGCCGTGATTACACCCCCAGTTCTCCTGTAACTGAGCATCTTGAAATTTTGGTCTCCATGGTCTGGACGTCTCTGTGGGTTTCTTATCAACATCCTGTTTAGAGCTCTTTCACATCCAGCTCATGTGACACAGCAGCTTTTTCTTTTGCAAAGCGAGAGGATTGTAGCTTACCTCTGAGACAGAACAAGTGGTTCCAAATGGATGGTGTATCTTTTACGGTGTTGTGATTCTTCATAGACTCTGTTTGCGTGAAAGGAAATGGTTTGTTTCTCTGTTTTTATAGTGTTCATTCAGTCAGTGGGAATTGTTTAATGGAAAGCAGTTGTCAAAATCTCGCTTTAACTTTGCACGCAGACCCGCAGATGTTGCAGTATGTGCGCATGTTTGTCTATGTATGTGAATGTGATTGATTCTCTGTGTATAGTCTCAGTATTTGTGTCAGCTTTAGAACCGAATCTGAAGCATTCAAACAGCGCTAAGGGTAGGCATAACCGCAGCAATTATGCAGAATGTCTGCTTTGTGTATCGTAGTGCTGTCAAAACAAACACACACAGAGGTTCTGAGAGTTTATTTAGCAGAAGAGTGTTTAGAGGAGTGAGAGAGCTCTTTTTTTTAACCACACTTGATTTCATTGTTGAAAAAAAATCTGCTGCTCTTCACTAGTGCTTGACTCAAGCTCGGCTTCTGAATGGATAAAAATGGAAATAAGCTCCATCAGTGGGATAAACTGTAGTGCATTCACCTCACTCACCTGCTGCCTATCCGCACAAGTGCCTGTTTCTGTAACTGTCACATTCTTGTTGAAAGAAACCCCACTGGCAGATCATCCCTTTGCCACCCAGTCAGGCTCTGTGTGTTTGTGTGTGTGTGCGTGCGTGCGTGCGTGTGTGTGTGTGTGCGTGTGTGTGTGTGTCGTCTGCCTGCCTGTCTGTGCAGGTTTAGTCCAGACTGATGGTGTTGATTTGACAGTGAGCTGTTAAAACATCCCACGATGGCCCATCACATAGGGAGACACACAGACATGATTACATGGGGTGTCTCATTCAGACGCCCACCTCAATGGGACACCCCCCCCCCCCTCTGGTTGAAAGTAGTTTCAATTAAAAAGTAAACTGTTAGCAATTTTCAAAAGCCAGAATCACCGTATGAGATTCAAGATTCATGCGGCATGTTTCAAAACACAGATAAACCCATGGCATCCACATGATGTATCCAAGATGTGAACACAGAGGGAGTGAAGGTGTGATTGTGCTGTGAAAGGCTTTCTGTCTTGATTTTATCTTTTAGGGAGCTGTTCATTTCCCCCCGTCCCTCTGTTCTTCTTACTCTGTGTGCTGGACTGATTGGTTCTCACCAATCAGCCATAAAATAAAGAGGGTGAATTGAGGAAGTAGACTGGCAGACAGCCACACAGGTGGTTAAAACCAGCAGGACCAGGTGTTTAATGGACTTGATGAAGCATAGAATGAATGTTTATGTGCTCAACTGTCTGCACAATTGAGCTTTTCTTTATAATTCACTGCGTGTTTCACCTTCAGGTGTGGTTTAAGATTGGATTGTAGCAGGTGAGAAAGCACCTTACCCTGCAGTGTCTTTATTATGTTTTATTCAATCTAAAAATGTACACAGAATTGTGCTGGTGTGTCCATGGATGCTTATTTTTGATGTTTTAGCTGGTGGAGCTTTACACAGGTACACAGGGCAAGAACCAGAAGGTGTTGGATTAATGCTTAAACAGGCTGGTTAATGTTTGATCATAAGGCGTTACACTTTCTGTGTGCGTTTGAGAGAGAAATCCCCGAGTGTGTCAGCTGGTCAGAGCTCAGGTGATCACATGGTGGATTGGAGAGAATGAGCAATCAGAGTTGCTGTTGCTAAGATACCAAATATACCAGAAGCCAAATAATATTTTTCAGCCGGCACAGGCTTATTCACCCTGGAGATGTTGTGTCTTCCACATGACTTCTGCTGACCCATGGGCTGCAAAAGAAAGAGCACCTATAGCGGTGGGATAAAATAAGAGCGACGTTACCCTGAATAATGCAGTTCGGTTCAACTGTTCTCAATCAAAAGCTGCCTCCATATAATATTAACACTTTTTTCTGGTGCTGTGATAGAGAGGTAATCTTGTAATGTTCCACAAGGTATTTGTATTATATTGTCCAACCTTTGTATATACACTGTGTTCATTTGTGGCTTAACAATTAGTCTATTCATGGGAGATATGACACAGCAGTTTTTAATGGCTTTTTTTCCCAGGAACATTTAAACTTTGAAAAATGTGGCCTTTTAAGATGAAAGCCTGGGGGAATTTCACTTTGTGTGGGTGCAAGCCGATGTTAGCCTGAATCAAAACCGTTTCAAAGGAACAATTAAAACATAACAGTCAACTTACAATAGCACAGATATCCTGATATGACTGCCTCAACTCTCAAACACAACAGTGAGTATGTAAAAATGAATTTTCAGATGGAAGAGGGCTCAGTGTGCTCCCTGTTACACCGACGTGTGTGAAGTTGCATCATGGTGTGTCTATTCATGCTGCTGCTGCGCCAGAACATTTCTGTTAAAAACTTGAGCGTACGTGGTTTTCTGTCAGAATAGAAAGAATTACTCAGGTACGTGTCAAAGTTCTGCAAGTGGGTGGCTAGATGCAATCCATGAAACATCCCGAGTGGGTGAAAGTGTGTGTGTGTGTGCGCGAGGGCACACACTGATGGATTTAACAACGCACAGTTACACACACATGCTGACGCAACGTGTTGGCTCACAGTCTTAACCAGCCAGACTCTACAAGAACCAACAGTCAAAAGGTCAAATGACACGGAGCTGTCCGGAAACGAAGCTCGTGTCGTCACATCATAGGAAAAAGGTCCAATGCATCAAGCCAATAAGGTGTTTCTCTAAAATATAACATTTCAGCCAAAAAAAAGGTTCCTGCCTCATTGAAGCAGAAAAATGTAATTTGTTAACTGCTGTTTTGCAAAAAAATATGTGATTTCATTTTGTTACATTTTTTTTTCTTTTAGTGGGAAACTGTAATGTACCCAAACAGACCAGCTTCTGAATTAACTTCGACCGTTCATAGTTAGGGGTAAAGTAGGATATTTTATTGCATCGGGATTTTGATGCTCATAATTTCAGTTTTACTTCCAAATGAAGTGATGAAGTGTTTCAGACGAAACCACAGCTTTAACAGCTTACGGTCTCACAGTTTGCTGTAGTGATGTTGTGCTTTGTTCCCAGATCCCTGCGAATAGAAAAGCATACAGGTAAATGCAGAAGCAAGACTCAAATTGTGGTAAACTATAATCCTCATCAGAAGGCAGGTGTCAGTCTTAGAGTTCTCACATTTATTGTAGTACATCAATCTGGTTAAATCTTATAGCCTAGTTTTGGTCACTCTGATCTGCTGGTGCTCTGCTTTTATTCTGACTGGAAGACTGACATGTAAACAGTAAATGTAAGAGCCGTTTTGCTGCTTGTCGGTGAAATCCTGCTTCACACTCATAATACTCTTGCTCAAGCATACTCCTTCCCCCCCCCCCCTCTCTCTTGCTCTCTCACTCTCTCACTTGCTCTCTCTCTCTGTCACTCTCACACACTCTCACACACACACACACACAAACACACACACACACACACACACAATAGCAGCCCTGTGATGGGAGGAAATGTTTGTTCAGAGCACTGTTGGCCGGCTAGCCCTGCACTAACGCTGCCAGGAGCCGAGCAGAGCAGAGAGGTGACAGTGGCTCGGATCGAGGTGTGAAGCTGGGCAGAGGCAAACTGCAGGAACATGTCACACTTTCAGGCAGGTATGGGGCTTCCCTGCAGATTTGTTGTCTTATGCTGACAGTGAACGCTTTCTTGTTTAGAGGTGGGGGTTTTTCTGGTTGTCAGTAGATTCTCTTCTGTACCATATTAAATTTTGAGGCTATAGCTTACTGCCCTTTGGCAGCGTGGGCGCTTCGTATACACTTTTCCTTTCACTTCAGTGTGTCTGCAATCATTTATCAGCCGGTTATCTTGGTACAAAGTTTGCACAGAGCAGATTCATGAGAGCAGTGACCCAAAAAATAAAGTGGTGACAGACACAGACATTGCATTCCTCTTTCTTGTTGTTGGCAACGTTTTGCTAATCCAGTCAACAGTACTAACGTGATCATCCATATCAGTCATCCTTTAACCAATGCTGTTTCAGACATTTTCTTTTAAGCTGGATGATCATGTAGTATTTAGATTCCCGGCCAGCCTTAAACTAAGTTTAACTTCTATGACATTGGAACACTCTGCCTTACAAGTGTTACAACCTTTGATCCGATTCTAACTCATTAAATATCCTGAATGGACTAATCAGTGATATACAGTAATTAGAAAATATATTTAGTGGTCTGAGTAGGATTTCAGGCTACAGCTGATGTTCCGCCGGCTTTACTAAACTGTTTTTCCTACACGTTTTAAATAGCAGTAGAGGTTTCAGCATATTTACCCTGACCATGACACTTATGACGGGGTGTCTCACTGAAGTATACATTCTGAGGGTTACTGCTATTTAAGCTTCAACTATAAAAGGCTGCTTACAAGTTTAGGCCCAAGGTATTAAAGAAGGTTTTCAACAGGTTTATTTTTAAGGACTCAGAGAGGACCATAACCTGCATTCCTACTGTTCCTTAGTTTACTGCTGTCCTACGTTGAAGGACAGCATGTGCCAGCCCTGCTAACAGCTGTTTCCCAGGTCAGAGGTCATGGAAATGACAGCAGGGGCAGTGGTGCATTTTCAGTTCAGCCGATGACCTGAAGTCAGATGAACTCTTCACACACTGGCATGGCTCAGATATTTTTGGAGCTTGTTTCAAACACTGAAAGCAATGAAGAAATTGTTATCAAGCCAGTATTATTGAAATAATACATCCAATATTCTGTTAGAGGTTGTAACATTATTGTGAAATTCATAGTATCATAGTAGCAAGTCTATCTGCTAATAACTCTAAGAGCAGTATGACTGTGGGGTTGACTGATAAAGGAGTGCTAGTAAGTCCTTCAGCAAGGAGTACTTCCTGCTCAAGTTTTTTGCTGCTGACTGACAATTACAGTAGCCTGGACATTCCACCTTGATGATGTTGCCCTTGTTCACATGCAAATTGAGTGTAATGCTGAAACTTTAATGACGTAAATGCTGTCCTCTACACCATCTTTGCTATCTGAGCTACACTATTGCACTGCGTAAAACACAAGAGAAGGAAGGAAAAGAAGTGAAGTACACCACAAAAGGGAATCCAAGTATTCAAACAAGTTACTTTGTAACATGTACCCCCAACTGCTGGTGGATGTAACTAAATGTGACATAGTACAGGATGGCAGCAAACTTAGTAGTAATTCTGTGGCTTCTGTGGTTTAGTAGTGCACTCATGGATTTACCTACAACATTTGCTGTCAGACATTTTTATATTTTTACAAAGGCAGATGTAAATGAGTTCGTCACCTCATAGCCGGAGACTTCCTAGCAGGAGAAGCACAGTGGGAGCTGTAGGTCAGGTTATATTTAGTTGGTGCATATTAAGTGTAATCATGTCATTAATCATTACTGTACAGGACCCTTCTGTTTGCAGCCCACACCCAGGCTCATTTACAAAGAACACAGTTCATATGTATTTAGGTTTGAAACCACTTGCGGTATCATTGCTGTGTATCTGTGCTCCCACCCTCTGCTGTAAAGTTCTATTGAAGCTTTCAGAATGATTTTTTGTCAATATATTGTTGCAGTGTTGCAGATTAGGCTCAGTGCATTAGAAATCTACTCTGTGAATAAATAGCATTCTGAAAAGATTCGGCCCCTCCCTAACCTTTGTGTACAGTTTAAAATTTCCACTTCTCAAACAGTTTTTATTGTTGATTAGTTGCTCTGCAGAGACTTCTACACAGCTAGTAACTCTGTGTGTAATATGAGAGATCAATGACTGTATAATACTGATATATCTTTTGTTGTACCCTGTTTGTTTGCTCCCCACCAACAACAACAGTTGGTACACTTTGATCGCACAGTCATTCATCAGATCTACCCTGCTTAATGACTTGTTTTATGCGGTTTACCTTACGATAAGGTGCGCCAGCCAGCAGATTCTGTGTATAATGGGTCACATGGTCTCTAAACAAAGCCTGTCTGCCTATCAAATCCTCTCACAGTCCAGTGACAGCTCAGCAGTCTGCTCATGTTGCCATGGCTGCTGTCATAGCAACTGAGTGACTATAGATGTTTGCTTCCTCATAGATCAAGTGATGTAAGTGTGGCTGGTTTGAATTCTGCTTTGGCTATGTCACTATGTGGTCCAATTTACTTCTCTAGTATAGCACAGCAATCTCTGTACATACAGACGCTCTCTTCTACTCTTCAGGACCAGTTCATACTTTTATATGTGCCAGAAACTTGTTGTTTTAGTGCCATTTGTTTGTTATAAATGCTGATATCCCAAATGTCACAAAACACCTTTAAATGCAGTGCCGTGTAAACACTTAACACTCAGGTCTCGTCACATAAAACTTGCCAAAAAATTGTCATGATGACTTTTTTGCACGAATCCGAAGTTGGATACAACACATTATTGAATGATCAAAAAAAGCTTATTTTCCATCTTAACTGTTTTTGGAGTCATCCTACCTGTCAGATCAGTGATTATTAAATGATAAACGATCTGCAGTCCCAACAGTTCTATCATTGTCATTGATATTCAGCACCTCTATTTAATCTTATTTGCTTAAGATTTTGTGATGCCAACCTTTGCCTTATGTTGACTCCCCCAGATTTGTTATTGTTGTGAGAGCCATGCAAAAAGCTAATCAGTGTGGGTGCTCATATTTCACCATGATTCAAATTTCAATGTAAATGTACAGTATGAAGAATCATGCAGCTGTGACTCTCTCTCTCTGTAGATTGAGAACATAGATGCCTGCCTCAGTTTCCTGGCAGCTAAAGGAGTCAACATCCAGGGTCTGTCTGCAGAAGGTAAGCTGGAACCACAGATTTATTCTTTCACATGGAACATGAGAGTTCATCCTGAATCAAGCTCAGGCTTAGTTACTAAATAGAACTGATGCCGCGAGAAAGATAAAACCTTGGAATTGGTACACTCATTTTTTTTAAAAAAATTTTTATTAGCAAGCTCTCTCCAGGAAACTCTGTATTAATGCAAATGAAAACATTCAGGGCTGATTTCACAACACATATAACTAATGTACCAGAAAGCTTACAATGGTACATAATGATGTTTAAATGTAGCTGTTGTCAAAAAAGAAAGAAAGAAAGAAATTCACACAGGGAACTGAGAGACAATATTATTACTGGCGCTAATGCAAAGCTGAATCAAACAGCAGCATCCTATTACAGCAAGAAACACATGGGGTCCATTCACTGTTCTGTTAGGAGAACTTTGAGGTGTATCATCTTGCAGTTCAAGAACAATCCAGAAGGAGAGCTAAAGGCAGCAGAATTAGATAGAGGAATTAGACAGAGTGTGACATATTTGAAATGCCAGTTTCAGATGGGGCTGACCATCTAAATAAGGCCCAGGGCCCAGAATCGGGCTGGCAAAGACACGCCAATGTTTCTCACTGGACAACTTTGGAAAGGAGGGGATAAATTTGGACTTTTAAATGGATTAATGCATTGTACAGCTTTATACAGCTACTGATTCATGCTACACTAAAGTAATGAAATACTAGATAAACAATTAAATTACAAAAATGTTGCTGTTTTTCACTATCTACAATAGAATAGAATATATGGTTTGATAAGCAAGAGAGATGATCTCCATATAAGAAAACAATCAAAATGCCATGAAATCATTAAAAAAACCCTAGTAGCTTATTTTCCAAGCACTAGTATGGTAAATGTGAAAAATTGTTGCAAACTTCATCCTCTATTTTGTTTTCATCTCCCCACTTTTTTTTCTACTTTTCTCCTTTTAAATCATTCACCCCATCCTTGTTTCTGACCTTCAGAGATTCGGAATGGCAATCTGAAAGCCATCCTTGGCCTCTTCTTCAGCTTGTCCCGCTACAAACAGCAGCAGCAGCAGGCCCAGCGGCAAAACTCCCAGCCCACCCTCCCACTTGCTGCCCAGTCCCAGAGCACACACCCTCCACTGAGTCAGCAGATCAGCGCCCCGGCCCAGCTCAGCCACTCTCTGCATGGGACTCCTGCCATCACATCCCAGAAAGCAGCGCAGGCCGAGATGCAGTCCAGGTGAGGCTAACTGGAGTGAACAAATGTGTCCCTGTGGTGTTTACTTTCTTCACGTGCCTGCTGTTGTAATCCATCATTTTGACATTTCTATCTTCCTGTTCGCACTTTTTGTCATTTATAACTCTAAACCTGACCTCTCACTGTCTCTGTCCTCTTCCATATCTTTCCTCTCTTTTCTTCTCCTCTAGGGATGGGTGTCAAAGTAAACCACTCAAGTTTACCCTTGGTCAGAAAAAGACCTCTAGGTCAGCTCTTGTGCCTTTCTAATTTCTTTCTCCTTCCCTTCTTTCCTCCACCACACCTCCTATTCCGTTCCATTCCTGGAAATAGGTTGATATTGCCCCTAATCAAGGATAGCATTTCTTTCGCGCTGTAATGAGTTTAATGTTGTTTCTTTGTCTGTGATTAAGGGCAATCTCTACTACAAGCACGATCTATTATGCATGAGTGGTAGTGTTGGAGCAGATAGGAACAAAAGCTCCAGGCTCCATTTTCAGAAGGCCCTGTCTCTCTGGCAGCGTGCCTCATTTGGCAGGCCTGCTTAATGGGCTGTAGAAGACCTTTAGATAACCCTTAAGTAAATGTGTGCGTGCTTGTGTGTGTGCTCCTGCAATCCCCCATATAATATGACATTAATAATTAACACAGAGGAATCTGTGGCAGGTCTGTAATGAGACATGTTATATTTATCTTTGGTCTTACTTTTTTTTTCTTTTTCAGTTACATTAGCCTCCTTATAGCATGCAGCATCATATGATGTGATAACGCACCTTGAAATTTAATGTACCATTTAGTTTTGCATGCTGCCCCATCCCAGAATATGTTTACATTGCACCTGCCCGGATACAGCACCTGACCAAACTAAAGAAATGCCCCCCTCTTCTGGTCAGCATGTGCAACTACATCATTTATCAAAACACTTTTTAAACTTTTTTTTTTTTAAATTGATTGATCTTAATTAAGATTTAAATGACTCTCTGGCAGCATCTGATAGCGAATTTTAAAAGATTTTAACGATGTGAATTGTTTATATTAATGCTAGCTGCTAATATTGCGGTGAAAGGTCTATTTTTCTTTGTTTTGGAATAAAAATTATTGTTAACTCAGTGTTAAGATACTGAGTTAACAGCAAAACATGGTGCTTTTGAACATAATGAGTGTGAAAGAATCTAAGTGAAGAGAAGAATTGCTGTACAATTTAGTGTAAGCAGACTGTTTTTTAAAGGGTTTTCTTTTGGTAAGTTGGTTGTATCCAAGTAATGATGTGCTGTTAGCACTAGTACTTCATTTTGAGAAATATTTAAGTACTTTTCTTTGTCTGCATTGCACTTTTAAGAGTGTAGAAAGAGAAAGATTTGCGGAGTAGATTTATTCTGGAATTTCTTTTCACACTATAGCCCATATTAAAATTAAAATTTAAGAAAAAAGTGTTGCTCGTTTTTTGTTTTTTTTAATGTAACCACTAGATTGAATTACTTCCTGACAGACTCAGTCCAGTGGGGGAAGGTAGTAGACTTGCTGGCCCTGCTATAATTGAAATGATTTTAGACTACTCTAGCCTAAATAATGTGGTTAAAGCTATTACCTTGCAACAGCTGGATAAATAGTGGTCACTCAAAGTGAATGGCAAGACGGAAATGAGAGTTTCTATAATGCACACGAGAGCTGAGTGAGACTGCTGTAATCTGCTTATCAAGTATCCGCCTCAGTCCCAAGATGGTGATGATGTCGCCAATGGTCAATTAGCATTTCATTAGCAGCTGTGTGCCACAGCCTGTTAGATTCCAACTCGCCTTATAGATTGGCTTGCAAAATGAAATCAAGGTGTCATAACTTCCACCAAAGCTTGTCTACAGTCTAATCCATGTGGGGAAAATAAGGAGGAGCACGTGTAATCTGAGCTCATAGTTCTCCCAGGACCTGCTCTCAGTCTGACTGTCCACTCTGCTGCAAGCTTATCTGTCTCCATTAGCCTGGTGTAGGTGTACCCTGGGGGTGGGTCGCCGCAACGCTGCAAGAAAAGCAAACAAAAGCTAAGTTTAAAACTAAAGCTGCAATTTTAAATAGAAAACTACACATGTCAGGAACAAGTGAACCTTGAACCTTGAACAAGTTTGGAAAAATGCCTTGTTAGAAAGGAGCCTAAAATAGTGTGAAGCATTTAGAAAGACATGAAGAGGAGGGCAGTCCTATTGTGGTTAGTGTAGCAATGAGGTTGAGGTATATTTGACCTTCTGGAAAGCAAACAGAGACCACTTCCCCCAGGAAATCAATACAGTAGGTCAACAAGTTCATATTACAAATTAACTGTGGATGTTGAGGTCCTCTACAGCCTATTGAGGGTGGTACATCAGCTTCAGTGCACATCATCACAGAGGCACGGTATAGAAAACAAAGCACGCTAGTGCAGATTTCTTTTTAAAGCTCATCCTTTGTGGCAAATTGCACTCCCCTAAACAGTGAAGCATGTTTGTGTAGCACTTTCCTTTTTTAAACTATTAACTATACTTAATTTAGTTTTGAAACTATATTAATTTTATCACTAGTTTCAAAACAAACAGAAGATGTATGCTACTAGGATATTTTGGTATTTGCAGAATGTGGTTTTCTCTTTCAGAAATGTGATTTGTTCTACAACTGCCACTTACCCTTCTAATGTGTTTGGTTAAATCACATAAAATGCTTGGTCTAATAAATCTAATTATGTTATACCCTCCCATCTTAGTTTACAGTCTGTTGTGCTTGTGTTATAGGCTTGCAGTGACCTAATGTGTCTCTGTAATGTGTGGGGGAAAATAAAACTGCTTTAGATTCATAAACTCGTGTTTGTCATAAAGCAGCTAACTTTTTTGGCCTGTTTATTCCCTCTTTTTTCTCCCTTGCTTTCTTCCTTTTTTCTTCTATCTATTCATCAGACTTCCTGGCCCCACAACAAGGGTGTCCACTGCTGGCAGTGACATCCCACCGAGAGGGTCGGTCAGTGCTGCTGGGAACAGACGGAGCCAGGGCTTCAGTGACAAAACCAAAGCCAACTCACACCTGAACAAAGGTAAGCCAGAGATACAGATACAAATGGGTGCACACTGACATCTTCAGGTTGAATCTTGGATGTTGGCAAATCCCGTTAGCATGTCATCATGACATGTGTGCAAGTTTAGAGGAAGAGAAAGTAAAATTAGAGGACAGGCAGTAGCCTTGCAGCTGTAAAAAGTCTTAATGCTGTGTTTAGGATGATTTTATGGTGAATCCTTTGGGTGCTTTTTTGTTTTTGTGGGGAAAATGCAAGTTAGCTGTGCTGCTTTGAGGCTAATAGAGGATTAAAAACCATGCCAGTAATGCTTGGCCCTCAGCACGCAGTGCAGCACAGAAACAACTGTGTCCTTTAAAGAGAAGAGCAACAAAGAACTGATGAGCATAAAATCCAGAATCACATAATGACTACATGCTCACCACCTTTGGAATCATTCTGAACATTAATGTTGCATTTTTAAAGGAGGTGGAGGTTGTTCTCAGTTTGCTTGAATCTCAGGCTGACCTGTGCAGTGTCTTTAAGGAAACGTGTCTTTGAAACTCTGTCCCATTACTCTTAATGTGTGGTTTCATGTAATATGAGTTAAATGTCATTGTGACCTCCATTTGCACAGACTGTATTCATCCTCACAAATGGAAAGGTCACTCAAAGTGTGGACCATTTAGAGCACTGCTCTCTACCTTTTTCCAACCTGCACAACTCAAGTGCAACAGCACAGTGAACCCTTTAGGACTTGCGAGAGGTGTTCGCCTCAGCACAAGAAGGTCCTGGCTTTGAACGGACCAGTCAGCTGGGTGGTGTGGAGGTTACATGTTCCCTGTGACTGTGTGGGTTCTGTGTGGGTTCTCTGGATTCCTCCCACAGTCGCAGACGCTGTGAATGTAACAGTGTGAATAGTTGTCTGTCTCTTTGTGATGGCCCTGCGATAGACTGGCGACCCAGTCAGGGTGTGCCTCGGCTTTTGTCCTATCACAGTTGGGCTCCGGCACCTAACCCCCCCCCTCAAACAGCTGCAGCACTGAGCTAAAAAGAGTTGCCTGAAGGGATGGATCCAAGTATTATTTTAGAGAAATAAAGTTCTGAATGAGAACGTTGGCAAACAAAGTTCAGTTGCTCTTCGTAAATCATTGTGCCTTTTCTTATTTAGGAACATCAGGACCAGCTCATCATCACTTTATGTCAACTTCAATTTTTTCAGTGTGTTTTTGGTTTTTGTTTGTTTGTTTTTTTTTAACTTTTTTTTTTTTTTTTTTTTTTTTTTACAAAATCATAAGACATGTGAGGTGTATGTTTGCTACACGATAACATCCAAAAATGTGTTTTTCGGGACACATTTAATGTATGAAGGTCTGAAGAACAGTGCAGGTATTCTAGGCAAAACAGTGTCATGTGTCCTCCACTCATGAGGCCTACGCTCTTGCCTAATCCAGATGGAGTGTTTCCACTAGTGGGACGCCATTTGATGGGGACTATCTTCTTTTGTCTGCTTTATGTGAGAAAGAGAAACAGTTTGCATGGAGTGCTACTGTGAAGAATATGGATGGACATGAAGATCTCTGGACACCTGGAATACCTCCTCCCACCTGATTCCTTTAAGATTAAGCGGTTATGTTGAACACTGTAATTCAAACAAGGTGGGAAAGTACAAGCAGTGTGGGAGTTTAGTAGATCCAAGAACAAAGCTGTTCACTGTGATAATTTTCCTTTGGAGTCAGAACTGTATTCACACCATATTCTTCCACGGTGCTCTGACCCAGTTTAACCGCTCTACACTGTTCTGAAGCTTACAAACTCTGGGTGTTTGGCAGTACGTTTGGTTAGACCAGTGTGGAAATAGTTTCTGTCACCACTCAATGGGCCAGAGCTTTATATAGACTTTGTTAGTGTTCACAGTCTAAACTCATTACCCTGCATTAGACAGAGAATTCTGACTGCCCAGAGAAAGACAGGGCAGAAGAGTAAGGGGAGAAAAAAAAGTGTGTGTGTGAGAGAAAGAGAGGGAGCTGGAGAGGGACTGTTGTCTGTTTAAACAGTCACAAATTAACTGGGACCAACGCTGTGAGAAGCACTGTGGGGCATTTATTCTGATGCTCGGCTCCATTCGAGATGAGTGAGTTTATTAGTGTAGACTGCAGGGAGATTTGTCGGTTTGTGTGAGTGTAAAATCACCATGATTTGGAAAAAAACCCAACAGAATTTTGGGGAAATGTCCTTAAATTTGTTGATTAAATACACTTCATAACATGAAATCCTATTAGTGCTCAGAGTGAGATTTCCAGTAGACACATTTGTCAATGACTTTATTGGAAGTATTTCCAAATAGTTGGATTTGGTGGAAAGAGTGTCATTTTTTTAGGCATCTTCAAAGGGACTTGAGCACCAACTGCAATTCTGCTAGAAGGCACAATCCAGCTAATGAAAAAGCACGTGAAGATTAGATTTTATAAAAATCATCAGATACAGGGAGGTCAGGATGATCGGGGGGAGCTACGTTAGCACACAGCATTGACTTGAAAGTAACTGCAAGATGTGTGAAGTAGCTGTGATAATTTGCATGAAAACAATTGGCTCTTAATGCTCAGCTGGTATCCTGACAGCTGATATATGAAGCTCTGAGTCTGAAGCATAGATGCGTCGGCTGATGCCAGATATAAGCTATTTGCAGCATACTCTGGGTGAAATAAATGTGCACTGAAACCAGAAAAAGCACGAGCTTGCATACCTTTCTAGGTTTGTGTGTTTGGGGCAGCAGGCCATATGATTGTCAGCAGGTAGCATGAGAAATACTGGTCAACCCCCTTCCAGGTTCCTCTTGGCCTGTTGTTGCTAAGCCCCTCCTCCTGCTGGAGGACCCACCACACTCCTCCTCCCCTCCTACCCACTCTAGATCTGTGGCCATGGTTTAGAACTCTTCCCTGATCTCTCATCCATCTCTTCCTCTCCTCTACTTCTTTCTCTGATGTCCTGGATGTCTGCAGCACCAGTGAGGTTTGTCATCTTTCACTTGTCGATTACATCTAATAGGCTAGAGTTACAGAGGAAGAATTTGAGTTTTGCATTGAATCTTTGATTGTTGCTGCCTAAAATGTATTTCTTTTCAATAGCGCAGAAAGCAAAGGGTTTTCCTACTGTTTAATAAGCCAATTTCTTGCTCCTTTAATGTGAAATTGATGTAGATTACCCTTCTTCTTCTTACCAATTGGTCATTGAACTAAAAGCTGCTAGTAAGTATACTACACATGAAGTTATTTGTGCTTATTGTAAGACGTTGCTCCTCGAGGTTCAGATAGTTACAGAAACACCTGCAGCTTCTTTTCAGAGGCCAGATCTGGTCTGTGTCAAAGGCTCTGATGCCAAAATAGAATAATGTTACTGGATGGCTGTACAATAAGTAAACACAAGTGCCTTAATATAAGGTGACAGTGTCTGGGTGTTCGCCGAGTGACACATAGCAGAGAGACAGAAAGAGTGTGGGACACCTATGGTTGTGTGTTTCTGTATGTGTGTGTTTCTGTTGCCCATGTGTCTCTTGGATTGTGTGTTGTATATGTGGCTGGTGCCTCTGCTGAATGAATAGCCTGCTGATGAGCTGTAGCATCACTGTTTGAGTGTATTCATGTGGAGAAACTTTAAAAAGTTTCAGTCACCACACAAAAGCCAGCTGTCGCTCTCACTTTTTTGAGCACAATGACTGAGGAGCAAGAGAGAGCAGGCTTCTCAAATGTGAACACGATGAGCAGCCAAACACCTTCAGCCTCAAACTCTGTGCCAGATTTTTACATATTAAATGTCTCTGAAGGTGTCAGTGCATTGAATAAATCTAACCAGTCAGGGAGAACTGACACCGCAGGTTTGGTTCAGCACAAAGATGGTTTTACTCTGGCTACATGTGAGGGTAACTTGTGCATAAGTGTGACATTTTCAGGTCAGCAATATGGTTGTTGACCGATTGAGAGCTTAATGTCTTGTTATCAGGGCAACCGCAAGGAGCAAGGAGGGTTTGTGATGTCTAAACATTGTTAGCTGATGTACACTTTTATACATTTTGTGCATGAAATCTATCTTACATCCATGCGGACTGTGCATTGTCATAGGCTCAGTGATTTCACTGTTTATAGATGCTTAGCAGAACACAGCTAGATCAGGTGGCTCAAGTGCTTGCTCCTAGGGGCCTGCCTGGGGCTCATCTGATTGTTGGGGCTTCTCTGGATTATTGTAGGGTCTTTACTAGGTCAGGGCAATATGGCCAAAAATATTTATCACGATATATATTTGAAAATTTCCGATAACAATGTAACTGACAATATAATTGACGCGAGACAAAACACTTTACAACTCCACAACTTTATTAGTGCAAAAAACCCCATCAATGTATTTTCACTTAAACAAGCAGCTGTTTTTTATGTGCATTAAAGTTATATAAAATTTTTACAGTGCAAATGCAAATTATACATACACAATGTAGCACAGTACGTATCACGCCGTGAGACTCCTGACTACGGTAGCCGTAATGCTCCGACAATCCATCAAGCGGTGTGGCTTTCGTACTTTAGCAAAGTCGTACTAAAAGATTTTTTGACAGATTTTTGAGTGCCGTGTACCACATAAAATCAGTTCGGTAATAATGGTAATAAAAACGGCCTGCTTGCTTGCTCTACCAAAAAATGTGCTTTGGTGTGTATCTGATGGACGAAAGCCAAACCAGTTCCACACCACTGAAGTTGCACCATTTTGACAAACCAATTCTAATTAATCTGTTTCATACAACGATCCGCTTTCGCCCTTCTCATTCTCTGTCGCCGCCATGCTTTTTCCGCCAAGTGTGAAAACAAAGGTACTGCGCATGCATTTTAAATCATGCTTTTTATTTGTTTTTGTTTTTTAATGTCTCTGTAAAGCACTTTGAATCACTTTGCTGTGGAATTTTGCTATATAAATAAACTTGCCTTGCCTTACAATATAACGCACCTTGAGGCAGGTAAATTGAATTCTAATATATACACACACAGACATGAGTGTGGCACTCCATGAAATAAAAACTGAATTTGAAAATTACCATTTCAGCTCATTCCCGAAATTATTTGATGTAATCAAGATGCTGACACAGAAACAGACTTGTAGAGACCGAGGCAGATTTTTTTGGCAGACAGGAAGTAGGAGGGTGGTCTGTGATCCTTGTCCCTTTGGGCTGTGCTCTTCTGTCATTTTCTGCTTTTTATTTTAACCACCAATGCTTGCAGTAATTAAGCAGTTAAGCCATGAGTACTCAAATTCTTTCAACATGTTTCCTCAAGTAGTCAGCTCAGCCAGAACAGTAAAGGAACGGCAATGAGAAGATTTAATTCCTGGACTTGGCCGGAGGCTACACAGGGGTCATAGGGTCAGTGGCCCACGTTAAAACAATTATGTGATTATTTTTGAGGTGAAACTGCTTCCTCAAGTGCAAAAACTCCACTGCTACATGAGAACAACATAATTTGCACGTCTGCCTGTTAATTTATCATGATTGGTTCAGATTTGGACCAATTGAAAGTGATGCATACAGAACACAAAAGTCATCAGCGTTCGCTTACACATGAAGCTGACATTTGCAGACATTTCTAGATTAATGGAAAGCTGTGTAGGTGTGACAGAGGATGAGGTCTTTACACCCTCTTGTGGTCACTTCATTAAGTATACAAGTGGCAGTTTTGATTTTTATTCATACTCTTTATTCTTTCACTAGTATTTATTTTGCGTGTGACTGATTTAGGTTTTTAATTTCAACAGCCTTTCCAGGAATTGGGTCCCAAGCTTCTTTTAAGTTGAGATTGTGTTGCAACAGTGTCTAAGTTCATCACGCTAGTGTCACGTCTGACCCAACCCGTTGAAGATTCACCCCTGACAACCTAACTGGAGCGTGTAAGCCCCGGTCACTGGGTCCAATCTTGTCAGTGATCAGCTGACCCGTTGTCCAGAGCCTTTCCTTTCTTTCTTTTTCTTTTTTTTTTTTTCCCAACAAAAATCCGAGCTGACCCCATTCTTGGACAGTACCGACCCTCCTGCTGGCCGATATCAAAGCCCCACTCATCTCAAACCTGCAGTGTCAATCCCCTTCATTCTCTTTGCAGTCCCTGTAATCATAGCAGGTCCCCCTCTCATTCAGCCGCTACCAATTGGAAGCCAGCTATTAGCAACCTGACCCACTTTGCTGATTGCTAACTACTAGCACATCTAATTGGGCCCTAATCACTTCCTAATAGCTGCATTGTTTCAGGCTGCTCTCACTAAATGCTAAATAGGGGTAGAAAGAAGAAGCAGTGAGTGGCCGCCTATTTGCATTTAGGGCATGAAAGGTGCTATAAAATGAAATCATCACACAGGACTAGTGTTTAATAAATTCTGACATAATGAGACCATAAGAATAACTTATGTAGTAAGTGAGTTAACATACCTGTGTGAATTGATCAGAATACCAAGTTATCTGTATTGATTTTCATGTGTAATTCTTCCTCTGAATAGAAAAAAAATGTACTGGCATGCATTTGGAGTTTGAAATGTGTTTTCTCTTGTCTCGTCTAATGAAAAACACTTGTAATAAAAAGTAAACTCAGGAGGTTTTAGGGGTTTGTAGATGAAGAAGGACAACAGAGCAGCTGCACTATCTTTGAATTAATGTGTCACTTTTTGTGTTTGTGTCTAAGAAGTAAGCGGAGTGTGTTACAGCTAAAGTGCGATGATTCATTGCACCCAGTGCTCCCTGCACTGGCCCTCTCTCTCCCTCTCTCGCTGGCCGTTGGTGTTTGAATATTCAAATGTTGCTGGTCTGAGCTCCATGCTGTTAGTAGCCCTGCTGTGCGTACACACTGAGATCTTGAGCAGCACTCAGAATACTTGGGGGGTTTTTTTGTTTATTTTTATATGGGCAGTGACTACCTTTTCAGCTCTTGCGTTGCTTCTCCAGCTCTTGGTAAGTTTGCTTGTTGAGAGTCACGTGCTGCAGATTTTCTCAGACAACTCCTTAATGAATGATGAATCTGTAGCAGGAACATGTTTGTAAAAAAAGTACTTTCTGTTCTGTTCATTTCTAATTCAAACCATATTTTTTCGTCTTGTTTCTCAGTTTAATATACAGGGGAGTGGTGTAACTAGACAGTGTTTTCTTTGTTAAGCAGAGGGACCGTGACCAAAATAAGTCCATATAAGTCCATGCCTTATAAGTGCAGCAGCACTGCTTCTTGACTAGGCCTTCTTGGCGAGACTTAAAAGCACTTGAGTATGGCCCTCATTGTTTTTATAAACAGTTTGTGATGGGCTCCTCTCGTTGTTAGTGCTAAGGGGTTTTTAACAGTTTTGGTGGTTAGTCCAGAGAAAAGTAATGGCATGTTTGGTTATATCAACACAGGCCACCTTCAGGGCTTATAAGGTAACTCTGTGTGGGGTCAAAGAAGCTTCTGTTTTTCCTTGTGTCCTTCAGATTCTTCGTCTGCCTGAATTTAGTATCTAAGCTTTAACTCCCTTCTTTATTGTTTAATAAATTGTCTCTTTTCTGGTACAGATTCCTCAGAGGGCCTGACCTCACAACCTTTGGTGATGACTGAGCTTGCTCCATCATCTGCAGTGTCTGTCAGCTCCTCCACCAGCATCCCTGCCACTACCTCTACCCTGATTCCTCCCTTGTCCTCATCCTCCTCTTCCACAGCTATTCCCCAGCCCAACAGCAAGCCCTGGAGGGGCAAGTCAGCAAGCTCCAAGCACACCTCTTCTAATTCCTCCGCCTCGACGAGCCCCCCCTCATCTGCCATGCAGTCTGTCAAGCAGGAGAAGGACACTTCCTGTAAGACTGCTCTGACAAATGAAGCTCCTCCTAAGGTAGTAACTCAAAAGTCAATGCTGGAGAAGCTTAAACTCTTCAACAGTAAAGGAGGCTCCAAGTCGTCCTCCATCTCTTCCTCCAATGGGGTAGGGCCCCAGACTGATAATGCTGCACCAACCAGGCAGCTTGGAGCGGGGCAGGTGGAGAGAGCTGAGACAGGCTCCAACACCGACCCCTTAGAGGAGAATGATGGCAATGTTCGGCCGGGACTCAACGGAACCAGCAATGGGAATTCTTGTGGAGCGGCTCCCTCTTCGGGAACTACGGTTTCTACCACCGCAAGCAGCCCCAAAATAGCTCTGAGGGGCATTGCCCAGCGAACTTTCAGCAGAGCTTTGACTACCAAGAAAGGCTCAGTCAAAGGACCTGAAAAAGATAAGGAAAAGGGGAAGGAGAAAGGGAAGGAGGTAGCGAAGCGCACCTCCGTCCCTGATAAAACAGAGCTGAGGGGAGATGAGCACAAGGAAGAAGTAGTACCTGTTGCTCTGGATGCTGACACAAATAAAAGAACCTCTAAAATTGCCAGTTTCATTCCCAAGGGAGGTAAATTGGCCAAAAAAGAGAGTTCCACCCCTGCACAAAGCGGAATACCAAAGCCAGGAGGCAAACCCACAGGAGCTGGTGGTAAAGCTTCTTCAGTGAAGGAAGCAGGGGAGAGGCCTCGGAGCATGCGGTTAGGAGGGGGTCTCGCCATGCACCGTGGCCCCCTGGACAGAGACAGGGACAGCAGGCACTCCAGCTCTACCTCCAGCCTGGCCTCCACAGAAGGAAAGACCAGCACCGCCCCTGTGGCAGGTGGTGGCACTACCCAGAGCACAGCCAGCAACACGGTCAGCGTGCAGCTACCTCAGACGCAACAGCACCATAGCCACCCCAACACAGCCACTGTTGCACCTTTCATGTACAGGTAAGATTGCACTTTCTTGGAGTATCTTGTCTAAAGTATGTGGTAGTGAATCTCAGTTTCACCTGCCTATATCACCTACATGCAATAATGAAAGCAAGTAATGATAATTTATAGTCAAACACTATATATAAAAAAATCTCTCTCTCTCTCTCTCTCTCTCTCTCTCTCTCTCTCTCTCTCATATATATATATATATATATATATATATATTAAAATAAATAAGTGTGTGTGTATATATATGTTACACTGTTAGAAAAGTAAAAAGAAACAAAATGAAGTTAGGCCTTATAAAACAATAGTATTAAAACACTGCTCATACAGTATGTTGCATATTCATTCTGTTGTATATGTGATCATATATGTGAACTTATTCCACATGTTTGAATGAATATGAATCGGTGTATAACCTGGCTCTATGTTTCCAGGGCTGTGTAAGATTATAAAAAAATGGAGTGTAGCCTGCAAGCTAGTTCAGACAGGCAGCTTGAGTTGCATTGCGTCATACACTCTAACATGCCTCACTTTGATTACATCGTGTACCAGATACGCCTTCACAATTTGGCGATCCATTTAAGCTGCAAACTTTCCAATCTTCCCCCCCGACAGAAAGTGCTGTCCTGTATTACACATGCTGTTTGAACCTCTCCACCACTCTAGCATCCACATGTAGGTTCTCAGAGTGATGTTTACTTAGCCCTGCTCAGTTTTATGTGTAACATATTTGCAGAGGGGCTTGAAACCAAACTCTTAACTGGACAGCGTGTGTGTACTATGTCCTGCCTGCCATCCCTTCACCCCAATTGGTCGTGGCAGATGGAAACCCCTCCCGGAGCCTGGTTCTCCTGGAGGTTTCTTTCTGTTAAAAGGGAGATGTCCTTCTCACTGTTAACAAATGCTAGTTCACAGGCGGTCATCTGATTGTTGGGGGGGTTTTTTGTATTATCGTAGGGCCCTTACTTTATTCAGGCAATTCTCGTTGTGATTTGGTGCTATATAAATAAAATTGGATTGTTGTTTTTTTTTTTCACCAAATACAAAGTTTTTCAAAGTTTTCTTTGAATATTTGTCCATCTCTAAATTGTTAAACAGTAATCTTTAATATGTTCAGGTTCTCATATTTTGCCTGCCTGTTTGTACACGTGCATCTGGGCAAATATGTGTAGATGTTGTGCGCCCCTGACCTCTGTCCTGGTCGCAGTGTGATAAGGAAGGAGGTCCCTCATGCGCTCAATAAGTCTTTTCTAACAACCACTCATTAACTTCCTGATGTTTCCTGTGCTGCTGCCCTTTCTCCCTGTGTACATTCTGACCCATAGTTAACAACCCCACCGCCAAAAAAATGCCTCCATTATCAGCACTTTGAAACTTCCTCTTTTGCTGTCAGGTACCATTACAAGCAGGATTATACCGCCTCCACCTGTCAGAAAGATTATGTTTGAAAGTAAATTAGAAGGATTAAAAACATACGATCAATGCTGATGACCATTAACTTAAAACAAAGCACACTGGTAGAAATTAGTTCAAGGAAAAGATATGGAAATAAGCTAAAGTTTAACCCTGTATTAGGTTGGTTAGTCAGAAGGTCGAGTTTCCATGCTGCCATTCTCTGTACAACAGTGTGAGTCTGAAGCAGTCAGTGGTTTTCATTGTCTGGTACACAGAGCGAGTAGTCAACAAGGACAAAGTCTGGAATCGGGCAAAGACCGCAGGCTGAATATGAGCGAAGCTTTCGAATGTCATCATTTCAAAACACTACCAGTGGTTCAGCTGTATCGATTTATCCTTCAAAGGCAAACTTTTCTGGTGTGTGGGGATTAGCAGGCATTCATTTTGGACTACAGTCACAAGACTTGAAACACAGCAGATTTAAATCTTAATCGGGTTTATCCCTCTTTCGTGACAATTTGCTCAATATTAGGTTCCCGCTAAGTGCACAATAATTCAGAATCGATTTGATCTGTTGCACAATTAATTTTCCAGATCCCAAACAGACAGCGAGGGAACAGTGACTACTGAGACCGATTCAGGAGGCAGAGGTGGAGACATTTCCTTCACCAAGACCAGCCAGACATCCATCGAGGACCTTTCAGGTCGGCGATCAATGGAAATATGTAATCTTTCTGGTTCAGCATAGAGAAAATATGTTCTTAAAAATTTTTTTGTTTTTTTTTATTGTGCTGGTCAGGTGAAGACCCAGAGACCAGGCGGTTGCGTACTGTCAAAAACATAGCTGACCTGCGGCAAAACTTAGAGGAGACCATGTCAAGCCTCCGAGGAACTCAGGTCTCACACAGGTACAGTGATTGGCACTGCGCTCTGGCTCATCCCACATAGTGTTTTTCTTGATATTGAGCAATTCATTTTTCACTGAGCTTGTTAGGAAAACAGTGCTTGGAGGGAAGTTTATATGTGAACAAACACTTACTATCTGAACAGCAACTGAAACAATGCTGTTATGGTTGAGTGGTAAATCATCTAAATCACACTCATTTTTTTGGTGGATTTGAATCAGTCTTGTGGTCAGTAGACTGTGTCTGTCTGTGTTTAACAGGTATTACCTCCTTTTTTTCTTATAGCAGTCTTATCCTTCTTTTTAGGGATCTTTTACTTTGATCGTTGGGCATGTCTTTGATGCTTCTGGCTTAGCTCTAATCACGTTCCCTCCTACAGAGTTGTGACCTGTGCTCTGGTGTTATGTGTCAGTGCTGACCCAACTGTCTACATAGTTTATACTCTGCTCTAAGGTCAATAAATCTGTTGTTCATAAATGAAATTGTGCAATTTGATGCTTTTTTTTTTCTCCAGTGCTTCTCTCTGTTCCATATTTCCAGATCCTAGGAAAAGAATTCTTGACATTTGGTGTAGTGATTGGCCACTTGCTTACTGCTTCAAAAGGCACATTTTTGAATGAAATGTTATCAGAAAACATTAATGTGTGCTCTCAACTTGTCTTGCCTTCATTATATTCCGCTCAGCACCTTGGAAACCACCTTTGACAGCAGCATTACCACAGATATCAGCGGCGGTGGCGGCACAGGCAGTGGCAGCAGCAATAGCGGAGGCAGTCGAAGCATCCTCAGCCTTACATCTTCCCGCCCCTCACTATCCTCGTGGCGACTGGGCCAGTCTAGCCCTCGTCTTCAGGCGGGTGATGCCCCCTCTATGGGGAATGGTTACGGTGGCCGTGTGGTTGGTGGCCAGGGAGGACGCTACCTTTACCCCGGGAACCTGCGGCGACAGCTGGCTGGCAGGGGAGGAGCCCTGTGCAGCGTGGACCTGGGAGACAGAGCCGGGGAAGACGTCGACCTTGATGGAATCCCAATGGAAGTCACGGGATACATGAGCGATGGAGATGTGCTGAGCAAGAATGCTGTGCGCACTGATGATGTGACCAGTGGGTAAGTGAGTCTTTTTTAATCAGACACATGTGTTATCAATACAGAAACTTTTTGCCAATAAATCCATTACTGGCAAAAAGTAGTATAGTATAGATACTCTTGGTTAACAAGAGTATCTAGGGAACTTTCACTGGTTCTAACATCTTCACCGGGAGGATTTTCAGCATTTCTCTGTTCTGTCATTGTCCATGCATCATCTTTTGTTTCTGTATTGTTGTTGGATTAAACAGGAAAAACGTGAAAACCTGTTGGAAAGATTTTGCAGCATTTACTAATACTGCATTACAGTTCACAAAAAGTTGAGTTACAGTGAATCTGGGTAAGCGCAGTATTTATGTGACAAAAACATATTTGCAATATTTCCCAACCCCAAAAGATTACTGGTAAATATTCTAATAACTCTGATGTGCTCAAACATAAAAAAACATATGAAAATGGATGCCATGCTTATATAATATGACTTTTATGGCTGAGATGTGACAGTTTGGTCTCTCAACAATGAGAAACTTGTCTTTAATGTAGGCTTACCACAGGAGGGCAGTAGTGTTTCTTGACTGTATATGTGCAACCCAGCTGACAGATGGTCTCTATAGCACAAGTATCATTTATTCTGTACAGTGAAAATCCCACAAGTTTGCAGTCTTTCAGTGTTTCGATGCTGTTGTCCTGATAACCTGGTTATTTTTCTCTTTGAAAGCCAGTGACCATGTTGTAGCAGGCCCCTTGCATACCTTGGCTGGCACACAATTTAAAGTACTGTTGTCATCATTATTATCAGATGAAAAGGCACCAAATCATCTTCAGATGGAATAGAAAGTTGGAAAACAAGAGATCAGGGTATTTGTTCAAATTCTGTGTAATGTTAATATGAATGAGATTTCATAAAAGCAGTGAAGGTGATTTAAAAAACAAAACAAAACAAAAAAAAACATGCCTCTTAAAAGCTGTGTGGAAATTACTTCATCTAGCCTGCATAGATCTGGATCACCATAGTCACCAGCCCCGAGGCACCTTTAGAAAGCCAGAGAGCAAAGTACTGTTGAACTACTTGATATATCTGAATCTGTGACTAAGCAAACCAAGCCAGGCCACAGCCACACCTGGACAGACGAGTGACGTGTACATGTGAGCCGAGACATTATCTTATTCAAAACACTTTATATCGGTAAGAACTATGAATAAGACAAAAATCATATGCCACGTTTATATTTATAATTAATAAATTATACTTTTTTTGGACAAACTGATTCATCAGTTTAGTCTTTAAACAAAGGAAATCAACATCATCCTCACGTTTTAGAAGCTGGTGCTTTTTTATTTAGACTGGTAAATGATCATATATCCATCATTTCAAAAACCTTTTTGTCATTTGCAAGCTAGATTGGATCAAACAGATTATGTAGAGAGTAAATTGAGCTGGATTTGATGTTTAAATGGTGCCTTTTTGTCTGTGTGAAAAACATGCTTGTGGTGTGTATTTGGTCTCAGCTGTCTGATCTCTATGGATGATGTGACGGATGGCTGGCAAAATGAGCTTTTATTCAAATGGGAACATGCTGACTAGATTATATTCTTTGTGTTGGGGCGAAGGGGGTGGGGGGGATTGCTGTGTGTGTGTGTGTGTGTGTGTGTGTGTGTGTGTGTGTGTGTGTGTGTAAGAAAGGAACTGTGTAGGTACAGCCATGTGGGTGTGTGGGCAGTCTTCCTCTGGGTTAACCATTATTCTCGACATCATCAGGCTATTTAACGATTAGCTCCATTCCAAGCATGTTAGCGTCCACAAAATAACAGGTTCTTCTGCACAAAAGTGGTATGTTTACCCAGAGAGGAGGAGCTGGCTTTTGGATTAGACCAGTAAACTCTCACACCTCAAGTCTTTGTTACCTCTTAAATGTTAATTAAATCTGAAATCACACGAATTACAAAAGGTGCTTTTTTCCCTCTCTTATCTGTATGGCACGCAGACTCTTGGGGTTGATATTTCTCTGAGCTCCTGGCTTCCAACACAATGTCATTAAGGCTTATGGAATTTAATTTGTGGCCTTCATGGTGAAAATATTATTTGTCCCTGTAAGAGTGAACAATCCACAAAGATCTCTCTGTAAAGTTGCCCCTAATTAATTCTATAAAGTGAGATGTTCATAGCTATGAACAACTCTGATACAATTTCTACTTCTGCAACCAAAGCAGTTAGAAACATTACTTGAACTAATTCTTTAACGCCTGTAACAATATTTAGTAGCATAAAATAGCTGTTAAATAGCAATATATAATAATTTATAACATGTTTTAATTTTCTCTTGCGCTTTTAATTAAAACATTTGTAGTGTTGGGGGAGTATGAACCAGTATAATATTCTGCAGCTGCTCTTTAGAGCTGTCCACGTCTCACATGCAGGCCAGTTAGTTTTTGGGACACCAATAACATTCCTGCTTTGAAAGGGATACCTTCACTGAACACGTGTCCCTGCTAATGAACACAAAACACATGAAGTGAGCCAGAGCAGGTGAGCTAATGCTAATCTGGACATTTGCTAAGTAAGCACAGTGAAAGTCACCTTGAATTTATTATATCAATAAGTCCCCACAAACATACAAATATTTGGGTCAGCCCCTAATTCTGCTAGAAGTCTCTGCCGGTTAAAAGGGAGTTCTTCCTTCCCACTGTTGCCAAAGGCTCTCTTGGTGGTCAAGAGCAATCAGTGGTAAATAGCCATAACAGTAAAACAATTTATAGCCAAATATAAAAAATAATTATTTAAAAGACATCAACCTCCACATTATATTTACTGGGGTCCAGTAACTGTATTTGTCTTTTTATCTGTTTTCAAAGCCTCAGGTATTTTTTTTTCTTGCTGTTTTACATTTTATGGAAAAAATATTGCGATAATGTTGGGAGGTAAGTCAACAATGAAAACAAGTTGCAGCTCTAGAAATGTCTAAGGAATCTACATTCTTGATTGCTTAGAAACGTCTTGAGACATAACAGGTAATTTATTTAGCATACACTCAATCCTAGTAGACAGGCAGTGTGACTGACGGCACCACTTTTACTATTTACAGTGGGGGGTTTTTATCAGTCACCAATCACCCCCACCCCCTTCTCTTTTTTTCCCTTTCGCTATCTCTGCTCATGGAAATGTGGGGATCTGTCTCCTTGGCTCAGGGCTATGTGGCTGATATACCACTCCCCCCACTCCAATTCTTCCCTCCTCTCCCTCCTCCAACCTTTACAGACAGACCCAACCTCCATTCAGGAGAGAAAAACATGTGGAGCAGGGGAGCGAGACTGCATATCAACACTGAGTTTTCACAGAGCAGGACACACTACCAAACAGTCAGGCTGCACCTTAGTATATACATGGAGAGTTGCTGGGTGCTTTGCATTTATCTCTGATATCACCAAACAGGTTTTCACCTGGTGATATCACAGCAGATCTCACACACGCACAGGACCAGACTTAGTAACAGCAGACAGAAGAAGCCAGACGGTAAAAGACAGTTGACATTTCTTTGGAGATTTTTATCAGCAAAGATCAACACACACCTGGACTTGTTTATTTTTCTTCGGACTAACTGTTTAACCATGTTCAAGGCAGACAGGTATGTCTGAGTGGAGTAGGAGCTGTAACTCCTGTTTGTTTGTTTTTTCCGTAGTGTGACAATATGGGAGTTAACTCCTGTCTGTACCATAGTGCATGCGTTGTTAGTGAGTCAAATATATCTGCAATGTCATTTACCCACGACTCTCTCTTTCTGTTAGTTGCTTGACTGTGTAAACTGTACCTGGCTGTTCAGTGTCAGCCCATAAAGTGTCTTGTTTGGACACGTTTCTCCTGCTGCAGAGGGTTACAGGTTAACAGGCGTCTGAAACAAGAGGAGAGGCCCTCAGTTAGTTATTAGTGTCAAGGAGTAACTTGTCAATCAGGAGCTTTGCTTATGTATGTGAGTGGTTGTGTGTGTCACCGTCAAGGTGACTTTGTGTTGTGATGACGGATGCTTCCCATAAAGGGCAGCAAATCCCCCCATCCAAGTTGGTCCTTTGTCAAAAGAGAATCCCAGTACCTTCAGTGTCTGTGTCTTTTGTTGTTATAAAAATCAATTGCACTCAAATCATATCTGGGCTATGTTGTCTCTATGATTTTTTTTTTTTATTCTTAAACATATCCCATTAATTTGTTTGATATTTAGTAGTCCATGGGTCATTTGGTTTAATGTTGACAGTTTTATTTATTTATTGCTCAAAATGTTGATAGGCACCAGATGATTTTAAATCAGTAGCATCAGCATATGGGCCATTACCATGTTGTTGTTGTTGTTGTTTTTTTATCCAGGGTTAGTGCATCTGGACAAAGGGATGAAGCGCTAATTTATGAATTATGGGTAGCAAGTCTTGTTACCAAGCAGCAGCAGGATTTGTGTGGGTGAAACTGCTAATTAACACTAATTTAAAGACTAGGAAAATACTACAATTCTACATCTTGGATAATCTTTTCCACACAACAGACCGTTTTATTTGTCAGCTGTTATTAAAAACCAACAGAAATTAGAAGAGGTTAGACCTAGCAGCCAACAGCTCCCTTTTGGCACACCTGTCAGTTAAAGCAGTCGAACACCCAACTTTAAGCCTAAGTAGTGGATTGGATAGTAAGTACAGATGGACTGAAAATCAGAGTAGAAGAGAGAGGAAGACATGCAGCAAAGGGCCACAGGTGGGATTCAAACCTTGGCCGCTGTGTTCTAGGTATGCAGCATGTAGTTGCCTGCTCACGCACTGATCTACTATCCAGTTTATATCCAATAATATAATACCGGTATGTTCTCTGTGAATACTTTATGTATGTTTTTGTTTTTTAACCAGGCAGCCTTTTAATGCTGTTTAGCTGGACATGTTGACATTTGGCATCCTTGAGGACTGATTGACATTTGTGGCCTGCTTAGAGTGGCTCTTGAAGGAAATGCAGTTTTTGGACTTTCTGAGTTAGCTTTATTTCTCAAACCTGAAGGCTACTGCTGCATATCACTGCATTATAGCTCAAAAGGCACGGGATTTACCAATACCAGTGTTTCATGGTTACAAAATCTGATATATAGGCCAATATTTTTTTTTCTTTTATACACATGGAGCATGAACACTTTTCCTTAACATTTATGATATGTGTGATTTGATTCATTACTAAGATAATATGACATTGCAGTACAAAAACAAATTGTAGACAAATACTAAATGCTATTAAAGTAATAACTGATAAACACTTGGTCTATAAAGATACATTGTCCATATCAGTGCAATCCTTCCAACCAATGCCTGCAGATGCCGGCCGCCAGAGGCGGAGCCAGACATTTGAAACACCCGGGGCTTAGCCCTAAAGGGTGGTATGCATGTGGGATTTTATTTTTTTTATTTTTTTTGGGGGGGGGGGGTTTAGAAATGACTGAAAGATTAATTGGCTCTGTTTTGAGTTTTGTTCAAAAAAGAATGACTTCATATAGGGAAAAATATATATCACATATGCAGGTCACCTTAAACTAGTTTTTTAATTAAGCAGCAAGGCAGAACAAAATCAGGGCTGTATCAACACACGAGGACTAAACCCCAATTCAACCAGACCCAGAACTGATCCAGAATTAAAACAGGACTATAACAGTTCAAAATCAGGATTACTTAGGATTTAACCAAGACAGAACCAGAATCAGAACTAGATGATAGTAGAACTAAAAATCATCATAGACCTGCACTACACTTGTTTTTTTTAATTCTACCAAAGTCCACTATTTAGATTGAGAAAAGTTTCTATAATTATTTAGCCTTGTTGTGCAAACAAGCCTGCATAACTTAATAAATATAGAATTTGAAAAATAGCAAACCTAAAAAGAAACACTAGGTACGAGATACATGAGGACCTATGATATGGTGATACTTTTGGTAAACAACCATTTGACTAACATGTGTGTCTCACCTGCTCTTGTTCCATCTCTGTCCTGTCCTCATTCTCCTCTCTCTCCCTCTTTGTGCTGACAATCATCAAATATACAGATATTTACACACTCTTCAGATCAAAACACAAACACTTTTTTAATTGTAACATCAAATTAGACTAAATGTTTATTTTTTTAGATTGATAAATATAAAAAACATATTTGTTAACTTTAAGAGTAAAGAGAGAAACTATCTGTATTTCTTAATTGCAAATGGCACCAAATTGTATTCAAAATTGAGCCACATTTATGGAGCTCCACGATTCTTTTTCTGGTGTTTTGGTTGACATCTCTGGATTTTCCCTTTTTAAAGAAACAGGCTCCGTGTTTTGCCTTATATGCATCCACAGGTGTGCCACCAATTTACTCACATGGACTCTACTAACCTATCAGAAGCTTCTTCAGCTCAGAATGGAATCGTCTGGAGTTTCTTATTAATTAACAATAAACTTAGTGTATATGTACTCCTAAATTTGATGAAAGTGATAAAAAATAGACAGCTCTGTCTCTCTTTATTCTAACATTTAACTAATTCAAAAGATATTTCAATATTTATTTATCCAAAACAAAACAAGTTTACTCTAAATTGATGTTATACAGTAAAAAAAATGTTCTTGTGTTTTCCATAAAGTGTATGTAAATATCTGGTTTCAACTGTGAATATACTGCTGTGTATTGAAGTTCCTCTTGTTTTGCATAGAAATATACTGAACAACATACAAAGCATAATATATAAAATACTACCTGAGTTTTTTCTTTGAAAGAAGCTCCTTATGTCGATTCTTGTATATCAGTGCATTACTGAAACCGATTTATTTAGCCGTGGAGGGTAACAACTGAAAATATGACATAAACACACATGTAAGCTGAGACTCTCTAAAGAAACAGCATTGTTGTTGTTCGGCTTTTCATTTCGCCATTTCTTGATTCACTTGAAGAGCAAGTAACGTAATATTGGTCAAGTGATCAGTTTGATATCAATCTTTCGTGATACATCGTCATATTTACATTATTTGTACAGTACGAATGATTTGCTTTGGTACCTGGTCAAACTTCAGTTCTCCTCTGTCTGCCTAGCTCCGTTTCTCCAACAGCGCACTCGTAGGCAGCAGCTGCCCCGCCCCGCTTAGTGCCTGAGCTTGGATCATACCAATATTAGGGGGGATTTACGCACAGTCGTAAATTCCCACAGTGTGCACTATGTGCTTCGAATATTGTGTGTAGTTTTTTGCTTTATACAGTTGTCAGCCAGGCATCTAACTATGAAAAAATTACACTACAAAAGACCCCGGGCTTCTGAAAAAACACCCCGGGCTTAAGCCCAGTAAGCCACCCCCCCGCTACGCCACTGCCGGCTGCCCTTCCCTGGGTCTGGTTCTTGTAGAGGTGTCTTCCTGTTAGAAGGGGTTTTTCCTTTCCACTGTTACCAAATTCTTGCTTGTAGGCGGTGTCGTCTGATTGTTGGTTTTCTCTGTATTAATGTACAATATGAAGTGCCTTGAGTGTTAAATACATTGAATTAGTGCATATTTAGTTTAGTTTTATCACTTGGCAATTCATAATACATTACTACCAGACAACTTTTAAAAAAGCTTGTATAATTCTCTCTTCTGGTTAAGAAAGTATAACATTTGATACTTTTCAGGTTGGTTACTTAGACACAGTTACATTTTCATGCTGCTGGGATACAGCACACAGAATCTGCTTTCGTGCTGATTCCATTTGAGTCACATACAAAGAAGCTCTGTCTGTACGAAACACTGTACTGTGTGTATACTGTATACACATTTAGGTACAAATGCGCGTTTGTCTGTGCGTGCAGGGTTTCCTCTCACCGAGATCTACATTGAGATAACGCATAACTGTTTTAGTGGTCGCGCTTTTGCTAGGCTTCTTTCTCTACTCACATCACTGCATACACAGAATCATCAAAACTTCAACGTTAAACCAGCAAACATCTCATTAAATTACACCCGGGTTAAAGGAGTCAATATTTAGTTCCATTAGGAAGCTCCTCCACAGGTAAATATTTGGGGAATTAGTTAGTGTTGTTTTAGTTTGAATGGGAATGTTTATGTAAGTGCTCATGGCCTCAGCGTTAGCCACAGGCTGTAACTGCTGCTCACTGAGCCTCTGAGGCCAGCAAGCAATAAATTGAGTCCTTTCAAATATAATTTTCCGTTACGAAATGAAGTGAATGCCCTACTTAGCCTGCACATATAAATACAGTACAAGTATTTTTAGCTTCTTCTAATGCTTAGTTACTCAGTCAATCATAATATTCCAGTCTGGTGCACTGATGGTCTCAGTATTGGTGATGAATTGCAATGTGCTTCCTGTAGACATAGAGAGCAAACTGTCTTCTAAGCAGTTTTTTCTTTTAAAGGCCACTGTTGTTGAACACTAGCCACATGAGAGAAATGTGTCCTTAGTTAGTTTGCTGTCTCCAGTGTTGATGTGGGAGGTTTTTGCTCTATTTAAGCCTGACTGATGAGAGCTTCACCTCAGCCAGAGAACTACATGGATGTGGCTTCCTGCTCAATAAGACATTTATAACAAAAGCAGCCCCAGCAAGAAGACAAGTGTCTGTTAAGTCGTCCCATTATCTCAAACAAAGTGGCGCAAATCATCCTCTTTGAGGTCTGTAATTATATATGTCAGAGTTACTTATTTCTAATACGTTTTGGTTGTCTCTTGCAGCTACATGACTGATGGAGGTTTGGGATTGTACACTCGGCGCCTTAACCGCCTTCCCGACAGCATGGCTGCCGTTCGAGAGACGCTCCATCGAAACGCGTCATCGGGACAGGGAGATGCTGACAGGTAGGTCTGAAATATCTTACCTGCTTCTTCTCTTAAACTTCTCTTAAGCTGTGTTGCAGCTTAATATCTTTAAGTGATCAGTTCAACTGAGTTTCCAATCTATAGGCTCCATTTCTCAGGAGGCCTTTATACACCTACTATCGAATGCACTGAGCTTGATGTGTTTGTCTGAATGAAAGACACATAAATATAACTAGCCGGTCACTTGGCTCATGTCTCTGGTTGCAATGCTTTTTGCTTGTTTCCTGCTGTCACTGTAGAAAATGTAAATTTATTATCCTGCAAGTGAAGGTGGCATGTAGAGATATTGTGTTGTTCTGGGACAGGGAAATATTCAATGAGGTCATCCTGAGGTGTGGCACAAAAACAGTGCGTCTGAATGAAATTGCGAAACTTCTTGACCATGGGCTAAACAAGGTGTTTTTACACATGCAGGTCGAAAAATTCACTCGAACCGTGAAGGATACATAAAAATCAGTCTCTGATTAAACATTTGTTAAGGTGGCCTAGATTCCGCTTCTTCACATGCATTTCAGTGAACGACTGAAAAGCAAATGCACAGTTACAGTATCCACTAGAAAATGTCTGCTTTTACCCATATCAATGATAAATAAAAACACACAGAGCGATGCACATTTTCGGGTGGATTTGATTATACTCATTCAACTACACAGGACATAATGCAGCGAGCTTTACGGACACCACACCGCTAATGTACGTAAACTCATCCTAAACGCAAGTTTCTGTGTTATTGGGATATGTGGGCCACAACATGTAGTAAAATGAGAATATCGCTTGAATATTTTTATATCTGCGGGACTTTCTGAAGCGTCTCGTTTCAGTGCAAGTAATTTGGTGAGACGTTGCCGTCTTTGTCCTGTCATCGAGCCGTAGAAGGATTTTTGTTTTCTGGCAAGTTGACAGAAGGAAATGAATGAAGGCTGAGCTGAAACCATGTTACCAGATAGTGATGGGGGTGGTGGAAAGAAAGAGAAATAGGTTGGGGGGATGGAATGAGCTTGTTATGAAGATGAACTGCAGAATGGATGAAGGTGGTAATGAGAGTAAGGGATAAATCGTGTGTGACAAAGGGGACTATACTATAGCTTAAGATGCGGCATTGGTCTTCTCAACAGTATCCCTTTGTCAAGAAAATGTCTATATTTGTGCTTCGGTGAAGTGTAGAAAACAAAAGCTTTTAAACCTTTTTAATTTCTTCACTCTTAAGTGGATGTGTTGTGTTGTGTTGCTTTGAGGGTTTCAAGTAGTCTTTGTCCATAAATCCTCAGGTGTGGCTAATTTCCTGTCTGCCAGACTTTTGACCTTCGCCCCCTTGCTACCTTTTACTCTGTACACACACACACACACAAATACACTGTCCTTCACATTAAACTGCTCCAGCCCTCAGGTGGGCCTTAAAACAAACTGTCCTCCTTCTCACCTTTCATCTGTCCCCTCCCTATCATCCTCCTCCTTCTCTCTTTACTCCATCTCTCCTCTCACCTCTTATTTTTCCTCTTCTAAGTTGTTTTGATTAGAGTGCAGCAATGAGAAGAAACTTAAAGGCAATAAAAAAGATAAGTCAGGGGGTTTCCCTTTTGTTTCCATTTGATTTTGTGCTTTAATGTTTCCAGCCTAATTTTTCGGTTCAAAAGATTAGAGAAAAATTCAGATGGGCTTTCAAGAGGAGATGAGGTGACTGCACTCCTCCCGCCCACACCTCCTCGCCCCTGAAGCTTTGCCTGATAAATGTGCTTACCACTTTTACTTTGAGATTAATTAAGAGAGCTGAAGAAGCAGCTCATGAAATATATTAGCATAATAAACAGAAACTAGTGGAGCTGCAGGATAAAGAAGGGTGACTGGTTTTCTCTTGTATAAGATAAAGCCAGTTTAATTCACAAAAGGAGGGTTAACAGTGCAATTTGGGGCTGGTGGAGGAGAACCAGCACCTTACTGTCTCTGTGTGTGCTTTGTACAGTTTATTTGCGAGTGTCACAGTTGAACATGTGATCTTAGAGGTATGTTTATCTATATTTATTTACTGGGTATGGTTGCCACCAGGCTGTAGTTGCCTTTAATGCATTTTCTGGTTTACAATGCAGCCGAGCCTCCCAGAGGAAGTCGGGCTGGGGGTAGGTGTCTAGTGTTGTTGTGGCACCGGGGCAAAATGCTTGTGACCCCAGAACGAAGAGGTCACAAGCTTCAAAGGCCCGAGGTTCACAGTTAAGAGCGTTCCAAACGTCTTTAAGCTTCTGCGCTAAAACCCTCCAGATCAGGCCAGTGCTGGGCTAATAAGAAGTGAAGGATGCTGGAAAACACGGTATTGAACAGCATATTCTGACAACAGGGAAACCACACAAAGTAATTATGAGAGCGTCAGTTGTGGTCTGGCTGTTTGAAGTGCAAAAACTAGTTTGACCAACTGTCAGATGTATGCAAAGGAGAACATGGAAACAAAATGACTCATGGGAGAACAGGGCCTGCTATCCTGAGTGCATAGACAAAGAAAATAGAGGCTAGAAAGTGTGTGTGTGTGTGTGTGTCAGTGTGTGTGTGTGTGTGTGTGCGCGCGCACGCGTGTGTGTGTGTGTGTGTGTGTGTGTGTGTGTGTGTGTGTCTGAGCATGCTTATCCCTGTCATTTATCTCTGTGGCCGGAGAAAGAGGAAGCTATCCATAATGGCCTGTCTTCTGCTTTGGCTTCTCTTTGTTAAAGCAGACAAAGGGATGAGGTCTTTGTGGTGTGAAAATGCTGTAGCAGTGAGTGTTACAGAGACTAACCCTGTGATTCCTGCATACAGGCGTTGGGGATATCATTACTCTATCTCAAATGAGGACGTGACAAAAAGAAAAAAAAACAAAGGATCACCACACATAACTCAGTTTGAGACAGTTTTCACACGAATCAGTATAATGTGGAGTCAGAATCCTGTTAATGATTTAGGGTTCTGCGAATAGGCTCTATGTTTGTCTTGATGGTGTCTACACAAATCGCCGTGGAAAACAGACACGATAATACATAAAGTCTCCATTTTTATTGATATATTATTTGTTTGATAGCTGAGAAAAATGAATTTATATTGAAATAGACCAAAGTATGTCAAAAACTAAAACATTGCTTTCAAGTACAAGCACAAGTGCTGTTTTGTGGCTGGGTCAGATCACTCAGATCATCATTGTCAGAGTGTCTTTCAATAAGCACCTTTCCTAAAAGGTTTTAAATCAAGATCAGAGACTTGGTAGACTTCCAAAGACTTCAGAGAGTATGTGTATATGAGTTATAGATACAAGTACTTACAGGGAACAGCAAACAGGGTTGTCTTGTGATGAAATATAATTTGGATTATAGACTATTCCAACAACAAAGACACTGTAGTCCCGAGGTAACATAAAGAACAGGAACAAAGAAAGTGCTTGTTTTTTGTTTTTTTTAAATGTCTGTGTATGTTTTACAGGCTTTGTGTGATGCTTCTTAAGAGCAGGATTACACTCATGTTTCAGAAGCTGTTTCTCAGTCTGTTACCTTTCATTGTAGATTTGTTTCCTTTGTAAAGTATTTTGCATTACCCTAATAAACTAAAATAAACTTACCACCTTTGACTAAGCCTTTATGCCTTTCAAGATATTCAGATCATTGTTAGAAGTACATCTAAATACTCCTCATTTATTGCAGTAATGCTTCAATAGGGCTCAATAATGCAAAGAAACACAGGAAGGCCTTGGTTTAATTTTTAGCACAGACTATGATGGACTGGATTGGCGAATTCCCACATTCCTGGAACATCACTCTGCAGTGTGAATTGTGTAAGTCCACTGTGATAACTTGCCAGAGCTGTAAAATCCCTTCTCTTGTTAAGCTATTGTGCAATCTCTCAACATCTGTAACCCAGCCCGGTTGTTAAATGTTGCTGTTCTAGTTTCTGTCAGTATGGACTACCTGCAGCTACCTGGTCACTGGTAGCTCCTCTGATTTGCTCTTAATTGTTTATCCTGGGGGCCGAAACTCATGTCAGCTCTCACAGGGTGAGAAGCAGGACACACCCTGGACAGGTCACCAATCTATTACAGCGGTAGCACAGAAGAACTCAGCAGTTCATATTTGTCTTGAAAGTGTGGGAGGAAGCTGGAGTAACTGGAGAGAACACATGAGAGCTCTCTGGGTTTGAGCAGGTTCCCTGTTGGCCTGCTGAGCACAATTGTGAGGCAACCACTGCCTCACAATTGGCAACCACAGGCAACAAAGTCTTGTTTAATTCAATATTTAAATTATTATGATGCATTTTCAAAGGACTTTATCTGCAATCCTATCATGCAAAAACAAATGTGCGTATCATGGACTTTGATACTTAAGAAATCTCTGATGATTTTATTTGTCAGAAAATTGGTGCCTATGTTTTTTGAAAGCACATTTGCTGGTTTCCAGTTTGTCTCACTGCGCTTCAGTCCCACCTGCATGAGAGCTGAAGTTGTTTAGAACATGCCCCGAGCCCCAATATCTTATCTCTCCTGTCTAGACTTGAGTAGGTTCCCTGTTGGCCTGAGGTAGGGGAAGAAAGAGCTTCAACTTATACCTCATAAGCTCTTTTCCTCAGCTACCAACAGCTGGCATGCCATGTGTCTCACACTTTACCTGTCTATCTCTGTCTGTCCTCTGTAACCCCACCTCCACCTGCTCTCACTGGCTTAGCTAAGTGAATGTGTGTGGAAGGTTTCCGAGCTCTGACTAAAATAATTGCTAGATCAGTTTTTACCTTTTCTTTATGACCCATGTTCCCTGAAACCAGGAGAATATGTTAACAGACATACATGGGCACAGCTGCATCTGGTCATACTTTATACTGTCTTTTCTTGGTCCTGCTGGTTGGCGTCATCAGCCTGTCACTGCTGAACACAGCTGCTGTTTATCAAGACTTAACTAACAGTAACCCATTAGTTTTTGTGTGTTTGTGTGTATGTTGGACCTCAGCTCCAGTCTAGATTATCAGAAGGCCTTGGTTAA